CCTGCTGAAGGTCTGACAATGAAACAACAAACACAGTTGATTGCTGCCACAGTGAGAACAGAAATGGGGGCTGCTCTGAATGACAAAATTTAAAGGCATTTCTCACCAGTACAATTATCCAAAGGAGAGAGATGAAAGGGGTGATTTTTGAGATTGCTAGTATAAAAGATAGCTTTTGAAAACAGCTTATCAGGGTGGGTTGGTTTTTTTTTTTTTTTGGACATATTAGCACCTCAGCTTTTTGTGACAGGAAGTTCTCACAAATCATAAACCCTGTGTGCTTCATATTTAATTCCCAGACAGAGAGGAAATGGGCTTCTAGTGTAAAATACGACTGTAGCTCCCTGAATGCTGCAAAACTTTGCTACTTTATATATTTCACATTGGCAACTTAATAGGTAATGAGATAATCATCTTTGGTTTCTATTGTTCTTTCCTTCAAATTCAGTCAGTTCCTACCACGTATTGCCCTTCATCTGTCACTGAGCTCTTCCACATCTCATAGCAGCACTCATATTGTATGGTTACCTACCAGTAGTCACTGCGCATACACATAACCATTGAGGAGTGCTCTTGCTTTGTCACTATTTGTGAATATAAAAGGATAAAAGCAGAAAGGAAGATTTCTTCCAATAACCAGGGGCACTTACTAGTAGAAAAAGAATAATAAAGCTTGGAAATGTGACTGCTGCTGAAATACAAACCTTTCTGGCCAATACATCTGAAAAAATTAGTTCTTGTCACACGCTATTTGCTTTCAACTTTGCAAAACTTGGTGTCTACATAAGTTTTGTTTTCTCCGAATGCCTGCCTTACGTAGGAAGTGCCTGAAAACTTTCTGTTGTCTTCACAAGGGACTTGTTCAGACATTTCCCAGTTCTTAGATGATACATTAGTATTCTGGGGTTTGTAGAATCTAAAGAGATTGCAACTTTTCTGTGTGTTCATCTGCCCTTTTTTATTTTAGCATACCCATCTTTGCTTGTAAGCCTTTTCACTGTGCGAGTTCTGAGTGCTGTTGCATTCACAATCTTGTCTTTGCAGAATCTAAATCATGTCAGAAGAGAGACTATGGTGATTGAAATCTTTCAGTTATCCTAAATGTGACATGGAATTGATCCATAGTTTAAGCTTTTTAGTGAATAGGAAGTTTATATACATGCAGTAGCTGAACCAGTTTTTTTTCCCTGAAAGCTGCTAAATTGAGTTCAATATATTAATTTGTACCTGTTGTTTTGGCTAATGCAGCATTTCAGAAATGAATTATCAAGCAAATAATTTTTAATTTGTTTTCAAATTAAAAGCTTTGTTCCGTGGAATAGCCAGTGATGCAAACCAGCTGTACAAACCAGCTGTACCACTGCTTGATTAAGACAGGTTTACAGCTGCTTCACATAACCAGAGCAGTGTAAAACAGCTGGATTGCGTTAGGGAATTTGGCCTAAGAACTGTTAAAAACTCAACTGGATAATTCTGAAATTCAGGAATGATCTCCATGGTCTAGGAAGGAACTATATTTAACTAATGCATTTATTTGCTTGGCTTCATCCAGCTAAATAATCTTGGAACTTTTACTTAGATGCAATCTGTGCTAGAGAGCTCTTGCCATAGTTAGTATTCTGTCTTAACTTGCTTACATATTTGGTAATTGGATCTTATGATTTTCATGTGCGAGTTCAGATACTAAGTTGGAGGATTGAAACGTAGAATAATTTTTTTTTTATATATATATATAATATATCTGTCTTTTAAATTACCCCTGAGCAAATCTCAAAGATTAAATGCAAACATACTGGGTAGGTCTAGGCTAACACAAATTTATCTATGCAAAGATAACTCTTAATCACTTAAGAAATTGCCACCATGACAGCACTGAGACCTGACATCATCCTTCATGGCTGTGGGAATTTCAACTGATTTTGGAAGCACAGATGCTGAAGTCACTTCGTATAAGCAGTGGAGGGAGACAGGTACATTTGAGAAGGCATTTCAAATCTTAATGGGACTGACTCATGCTCAGTGAATGTTTTTCTCTCTTTGGCTACCTAAATGTAGGTGAACTAAATACACTCCTAAGTTCTGTTTTTCCCCATTTTCAAAGCCATTCAAGAGTAGGCTTTTTTTAAAATCTGTGTAGAAAACTAGTATCATATTTGACATGTAGATTGTAATGATATAGTTTTCAGAGGCACTGAGCACTTAAAGGCAAGTTTTCTTTCTTTAATGAAGTCTTGCCTTTCTTTGTAATTTTGTTAATTTTCTGTGTGTTTTCTGGTGTTTTCCACATTCTGAACCATGACAGATACTTGGAATATATAATTTTACAAACCTCAACTCATAAATTGTGCTCGTATCAGTACATTGCAGGATGAGATCTGTGCAGTTTAGAATGCAATTTCTAATGACAGTCGTTATTGTTGATCCAAACAATTGCTTCTTCCACAGGAAAGTCGAAATGGCAAGCTGGTGGAAAGACAAAGAGGGTGACTCAAGGCACACACAAGGCTGCAAAACAGGTATGTGCTCATTTGTAATGAGATTTACTGCATAAAAATGTTTTGTGGTATCACTGGTACATTATTGGCTAAATAATACATATATAAAACTGCGCACATTGTCTTTTTGAAGTATACAATCCAAGTTTCAAAGTCAAGTATTTAGAAGTTAAAAAATGCCAGAATTTTGGTTTCTCTTCCTCAGCCTTTACTTATGGCACTTCCTAACCTCTGGAAGTGCGACTGTTTTCTGTTGTGGGAGAGAATTTCAAGTTCAATAAGAACAGTGTCATGGGGCCAAGTGCTTATTTGGTATTTTCAGCCAAATGGGTGTGCTTCAGAATCCTTGGGAGTATCTTGTGCAGAGGATGGACAGTCTGTGTCTGTTAAGGAGACATATCCCCATATGAGTGACTAAGCTGGACACGCAGCATCAACAGATACGTAACACTGAGGTGGCATAACAGTACTTCCAAGTAGGCACATAGTGATTCCTGTCTGTGCCAGCATTCGTGAAGGCAGTTGGATGTTCTCCCTCTGCTCCCGTCACATTTAGCATATTGGCAGTCGTCTGCATCTGTGCAGCAAAGCAGTACTAGATCAGTTAGTCTGTATATTAACACTAAAAATTGAAGCAGATTTGTTGTAGGTAAAGCTGTTACATTACAACTTAAGCATGAGGACACTTTCAGACTGGGTGTAAGTAGGAGCAACTTCATTCGTTGGCACAGCACTTACATTGGGTTGAATTGAGCTTGCAGTGTTAACAATATGGTGACTGGAAATCTTTGTAGAAGTAGTAGTCTAAAGTGTGAAAGCTTCCTTTTGTAACTCATTTGATACTCACTGGCATCTCATTTGCAGGGCAGCCACAACATGTCAAGCGAAGGGCTGGCCACATCAACATTGCCCCAGTGTTAATGCTAGTATAATATAATGAGGGATTAAAACCAATCATCATATGTAGTATCTTCGTAATAGAATTTAACTGTGATGGAACATTGCTGGTGTGATTATTAGGAACAAGTTATTTTCATATCTGGATGCACATACTTGTCAGAATAAGTAATACAGAACATGTAATTAGAAAATGTAACTTTCCAGTGTGCTAAGAGGCAGGATATCGTTGTGCTATTATATATTGTGAATGTTGGGTTATAAATGTCAAAGAAACAAATCTAGTTTTACGTAGCTGCTGCCGATATTTAAGATCAGAATGTGTATTTTAAAACCTCAGGTCAGTGGGATGATGTAGTCTTCTTCAGTGAAAAATTTCTGGTTGACAAAAATCTGAGTATGTTGAAAAAATGCGTGTTTCGCAGAAACCCAGCCCCTTTCCCTCCTCATGTTTGTTGTTTCCCATTTTCTCTTGTTTTCTCAGAGCACTACCGTAGACTGTAAATTAACAGCAGCAGCAGCTGGAGATAAAAACTTTGACAAAAGCCCAACAAAAACAAGACAGCCTCGAAAAGTTGATCTGCGAGCTCGATACTGGGCATTTCTGTTTGACAACCTCAGACGGGCAGTTGATGAAATCTATGTTACATGTGAATCGGATCAGAGTGTAGTAGAATGCAAGGTAAGTCTTCAGCTGTTCTTTGCTGGTGTCACATGGCTCTTACAGGGCTTTTTTATACTTAGATACTTCAGAAATGTGTTACTATGTGATTTGTGTTTAGTAAAGGCTTGTAAATAGGAAAAGAGATGGCATATTTGTTCTGATTTAGGAAGATACTTTCAGCTTGGGCAGTGACTAATTTTTGAAGTGTATAAAACATACATAATGTTATTAGATCACACTGTTTTTATGAAATCAGGTTCTGCTTATTGAGTTCTGATTTTGTTAATTTTCTGGCTAAACATTTATTTTTTTCCCTGTAATGTTCTTTACTGTAGGTGGCACTGTTGTGATTCAGCCTTTTTCACATTTGTTTGCTGCCTTTTAAGTGGCTTTACTATACATACTGCTTCCTTTTTGTAGCAATAGTTTTCACTCTTCTAATTCCCTCTTAATGTTAAGAAAGCGTTTGGTGGTTGATGGTGGTTGGGATGCCACTGTAAGTTGTGTTGCTTTTGCATAACCTCTGTTTGTAATAGCTGGTGCATCTCGTAGCTTTTATGATGGTTTTCTGCTAGATCTGTAGAAAGACCGCTGTCACTGAATCCAAATCACTCCTTTTTTTTAGAAATGGAATTTATCATGATTAACAGAAGGTGGAAGAATATGCTAAAAAAGCAATGTGAAATACATGACTTCTGTTTTCATGTTAAACATGGCTGAAAACTCGACACATTCTGGAAATGATTATCTAATCACTGTAAAAAATTACATGTATCAATTTAAGTCAGCTTTTTTCTTATCACATGCATCTAGTTCTCTGCTGTAATCAGACACATTGACTTTGAGATTAGCGTACGAATACAGTTCATTGAAAGCAGGTTTGAGAACTGAACAGTAGCTAGAGGCTTCCAAATTGCTGGTTGGTCTAACACAATTTAACATGTTGTTCCTGAACTGTCTTCCTGCTCAGGAGACTTCTCCGGAGAGTTTTTTGGTTTAAGAAAATCAGTCAGCCTTGTATTGTAATTAGATTAGCATTTTAAACTCTGGTGACTGGAAGAACAGAAGTGTATTTGTATCATTGTCACATATTTTTGGGCTTAGATATCATTCAGCATTTTAATCATGCTACTTGATCTGTTCTCAGATGGAGATACTGCATAGCCTAAGTGGAAGTCTTCATTTTAGTACATGTTTGACAACGTATGTAGCTGTGTATATCGCCTTACTTGTTTGCAAAGCCGAGGTGGAGAAAACAAAAAGTGGGTAAAAGAGGAGTCCAATGTCATTTGTTATAAAACTTCTGTAACATTGATGTTGCTTTTACCTTTTAAAAGATCTCAGCACAAAAAAGTGCCTTACCTGAGTAGTAGGAATATGCATTTGTGCTGTGCTCTTTTTCTTTTAAAAGTTACTGTAAAATAATGATTATTAGACTTCTGATAAATTACTAAACTTTCCGTTAATCTGTGAAGTATAAAGCTGTTGAATCCTGTAAATTATTTTTACTAATGATGTTTCACTTCCGTTGATTGTCATTCTTTATTTTGGGGTGGTTATTGTTGACAGGCACAGTCTGGTTTCTGCCAGAGGTGAAGTTGTCAATGTGTTCTGTGAAATGACAGCAGAGTATCTTAACTGCTGTCTTTGAAGTGAGTGCTTTACATAACTCTTAATAGATAGGCATATAACATTTGTGGTACTGCATACATAGGCTTCAGCCTAGGGAGTGACCAACCTTGTCATTAACATGGAGGTATGTTTTAATTTTGGATGGGACATTAGTGATAATGACCACAGATCCTTGTGGAAACTGCATGTCTTCCTCATTCTGATCCTGAAAAGCCAGTGCTTGCTGTTGCCTATCAGCTGAAATACCCCATTTCAGTGCAGTTTTCATATTATGGAATATACAGAAAGTGCTTACCGTGGTACCTCAACCTTTTAGTTCACAAATTAAAATAATGATCGAGTCTCAGAGTTCAGTTGGCAAATGGGATTTATTAAGAAGCACTCACATGACATTGTTGCAAGAATTCATGTAGCTTAGTAGAAGGTCTGTGTCCTACTTTAAAAATAGCTTATCGCAGTCTTTAGCTTAATCATTACAATTTGGCCATATGTGACTCAGTTCAGGTAAATAATCAGCATTTGCTCATCTAAAACACTTCATTGTTTTAGTGCCTTGGCTTTGGTAGTCCTACACACATTGTTGCCTTGTTACCTCCAAGCAGCAAGTTTCATACTTTACATTGACAGTTCTGATTGTGCCTGGTCAGATCTTGCAAGATCCCTGGTCGTGCATTTTTGTTGCTATTTGAAAATGTTAAAGCGATGAACAGAACCTAGATTCCCTGTTTTGTGTCAGCTCGGGTGTCCAGTGTTGAAGGAAAGATGCGTGCAGCAAAGTTCTGCGTTATTCCAGGGACAGCTCCAGACAGTTGAATGTGCAGGACTGGGAGGATGCAGAGTGCTTTAATGCCTCTAATTGAAGCATATGTAAGTAATGGTATAATATTAGGCATAATATGAATTCCGTGTGATCTGATGAGGTATCTCTCTAACTCTGCTATCATCTGTAGAATAGCGATAATGTAGCTATGGGAAAAGGATGTATGTCATGTATAAGGCTTTTATTAGGATTTAGGATTTTGGACTTAGAAGGCCAGGTTTAATGCAGTCCTACTATGAGTCTTGTTGGTCCTGTGTAGCCATGAATTTCTGTCACCCCTGCCATAACTTTTAATATCAGTGGACCAATCTAACATAGTCATTATCGACTTCATGAGAGTGGGTGACTAGCTTGGAAGAAGACATCCTGTTAAGGTTCACATTGCGGAAAAAAACTGCCATTCAGTGTTCATTAGACACTCAGAGAATAAGAGAACATGAATGCAGCAATTGAGGGAAGAGGGATTTGGGGGGGCTTGGTTTTTGTTTTGTTGGGTGTTTTTATGGTGTTTGTTGTGCGGTGTTTTTCTTCTTCTTGGGCAGATTCATTCTTAACACTTTCTCCATTTTTATGTATTACAGTACTGGTCATCTGAATGATTTTAAGATGAAAATTCTGTTCATTACAAATTAAAGCTCATCTACAAATGGGAATGGATTACCTTTACTTTTACGTTCTTTTCTGCAACCTTGTCGTACTGCACAGAAAAGTGTGTAGTGGTTAAAATCTTACAAGAGATGCTAACAGAAACATCAGCTCGGTTGAAAATGGTGTTTCTGCTATACCTGTAGAAGTGGGAGATTTTGATAAATAGAATTCAATATTGACACATTTACTTTTCAGACTTATTTGACAGAGTATCTTGGTAGCTCTTTTTATGAAGAACCATTTTTATGTTTACTGCTGGATGCATGTGGGAAACAATATTAAGTAAGGAACTAGAGTGGTTAAACCGTTAATCTTTCCTTCTCTGGTGTTTAAGTGGGATTTTGAAAAAATCATAAATGCCTGTTATCAAAAGCTTCCTTAATTTCAACTTCTGAAGTAGTATCTCCTCAAACCTATGTTTTGCTCAAATGGGCACGTGCTGTTCTATTTAAACATTTTAGTTGTATGAAGATTGTCTTACAAGACCTGTGTAAGAATGAAATCCGACAACTTCTGGCATTTTAAACTTTCCAATTAACCTGCTATAAAAGTGTTGTGTTTTTTCTTAGTTTGTACCTTTTGCTGTCTTGTATTCTTACAAGTTGGTATAGTTTTATTGATCATGTTGTCACTGAAGATAATGTTTGATGCTTCCCAAATCGGAAAGGGCTCTAGTGGCTGGTTGTGGTTGAAACTGCAGACGGAAGGGTTGTGGTAAGGATGCAAACAGTGGAAATGTGTGTAAGAGGATCAGTGGTTGTGTTTCTTTTCTTTCAGCTTTGGGCATTGCTGAAGTTAGTATTTTGCTATTGATTTGGAATTGAGAACTCTCAAATCATGTATAGAGATATATAGATACAGCTTTGATGCTTTGCATATAAAGGTATAAGGAACATGGTTGAATTATTTCCAAAATAAAGAGTTCTCAAGTTTAAGCATCATCATTTACTGTACATAAATCAGTTTGTGCAGTAGTGATAGATTAGATGTATTCTAATAGATTTGCCTATAACCTTCAACATTTCACAGTGAAAATTGTATGGCTATTCTGTACATTAGTTCAGTTTCTGTGTGTCTGATGTTCATATGAGTATTTTATTACCTAGTATTTTCTAGGTTTGGGTGGTGAGCTTAGGTAGAAAAGAAAGAATAATCCTTTTAAATCTCCTTCTCTATTCTAAAAGGAATTAAGCCCCAAATTATTTGTAGATGGAGAAAGGCAGATTCTGTAGACAATTTTGGCCAGTGGAATTTTGGTTAATTGAACAGAGTAGACAGAAGACACATTTGTCTTCTGCTGCTTTCTTTTATGGTCTTCAGGTGCCTCAGCAACTGTGTTTATATGTATGTTGTGTGTGTATAAAAACGACACCACGCATTTATATATAACTCTCATTGATAGAATTTGAGCAACTGGATCCAGCAGCTAAGGATACAGTAAGCCTTGGAGAATCTCAAACCACTTTAATTGTTGGGCTTTTACCCTCCTAGGATGAACTTATGGCTTCAACTATTTTTTTTTCTTCAACAAAGCTGAATTTTATTATGTAAAAATGTGGTTTTCTATTCTTTTTAAGGCGGTGTTTGGCATTACTTAATGGTTGTACAAACTTTAGTCTTTCTCCTAGCGTTATTTATTAGTATATTTCTGTAAGATTTTGGTAAGGGTACTTTAGCTCCTTGTTTCTAAAGCTTACAGGTATATTCATAAATCAGTCTCCCCTGAGCATAGTTCAGTGAAAACAGTTTCATTCTGCTTGAGATTCTTCTTTCCTCTTACAAAATGTAGAGTTAAGTTCTTTCGCTCTGATTCTCCCAGACAGCACAAGATACTCTAAAGAGGTGGGTAAAGCCTTTCCCTTAAAAGATTTGTCATGTTGCATGATGTGAAAACCAGCTGAAACAACTTTAGTTGAGG